AAAAATTTTAAATAATCTTTGAAATCAATACAATATCTTCAACATTATTGTCTTATACAATATAGACGAAATATTCGAACCCATAATACTAAACGATTCGCCTGATATGTAGATCTGGATCTTAAATTGAGATTGGAAGCGCGACTTTAAATGGGCCCTTCACCGTCCTCCGTTCTTCTTTCCCCAAGATATTGAACAACCAGACGGTAGGTGTATGAATAACAATGAAGGAGAAAGGAGGGCAAGAAAGGTGGAAAAACGCTGTCCTCAAACACGAAATTTATATAAACGCTCGAACTACATTGCAATCAAATTAAATTATTTCTTATTGTTACAAATAATTGAATCTTTGACAGGAAGAAACAGACGTTTTATTATTACGATTTAGTCGTATATGTATTATATACATTAATCGATTATATGTCTATTTTTGGCGAATTGTAAATTGGTTAGAAAGATTATATTTAACTGACAGACATAAACTTCTCTCAATATTTTATTAGCCACTGATTGTCTGAGTAATAGATGGCAATTCATGATATCATTTAATTGATGTTTAATAGTGGTGCTGTTAATAGATATATATATCGATCGGACGAAAAGCGATTATTTGATACATTAAGTTAACGATTTAAATATTATTTCAGTTTCTTACCTTTTTATATAAAGTTACATATTAGTTTGAATGTTTTTTATTCAAAAAATAATAATTTAGTATAAAATTACGATAATTTGTAATATATACGCATATGTATAATATTATGTATAAAGATTCAAGATACAACCTCAATAGAACAAATTAATAAGTAGCTTGATTACAACTGCAAATATTTATAATATTATACCATCACAACACAGCAGCCAATTCTTTTAAAATAACGCAAAACGTTAAATTAGTTTTATATGACAGACGCATTTATTATTTTTATAACAATTTTGCTTGTTGATATAAAAATCAAATTGTTATACTCTTATACGCTCATACGTAAGAAAGTCTGTGACTTCAACGATCGTCGCACTTTTTGGGTGAATAACATTTCGAAAGTGTAATATCTCGAACAACGTGAGATGTTTTATGACGACATTCAGAAGCAATATTTTCGCTATGGTGTATGAAAATACGAAAATCTACAAAATGAAACTACTAAATTGTAAACGCCATAACTTTTTTTAAATGTTACCACATGGGAAAAATAGTATATATTTTGTTCAAGAGTATCTAAAAATTTAGGTACAAATTTAAAAATAATTTTGTTAAACCATTGAAATAATTATAAAACGCTCAAACATGATAAGTGATACTGCAAAAAGTGTTGTGACTTCTATAGTAACCAGATTGAGCATTCTACATAATTATTTTGATAGTCCATAAATGTCATTTTATCTGTGTAATAATAAAATTTTTAGATACTTTAGCAAAACCATTCTTTCCACATAAGGCTTCTAATTATTCTAATCATCGCAAGGTCTATTGCATCTCACGTTACTCATCCGAGGTTAATAGAACGAAGGCACGCCAGAGAAGTAACAAAGCGCATGATACTCGAATCGAATGTCTCGAAAAGTTCGATCGGTACTTGAAGGGGTTCGGCGTGGAGGGTCCTCCTCCTCCGCCGGTCCGGTCCATAAGAGGAAGAGACGTCCGTTCCGAATGGAGGGAGGCCCGAGGAAGCGCGAGGATCGATTCTCGAAATCCCGGAACGCACGAGAGAAATGTCTGCACGAGAAAGCGCACCTCGGCACCCCCTAGGAGAACGCGCTCCGCCCTTGGAGGATTCGCGTTTCGAGACCAATATTCTCGCCACCGCCCTTAAAGACTATCCCCGAGTGTTTCTCTTGCCTCATCCGTCTACGATCCTGTATATACGTACATTTCCGCCGCGTATACGTATACATCATAAATATTTCGCGCGTTCGCTTGCGCTCCATCGACAAACGCGAGATAGATTAATGAGATGAAAACGCTATGTAGACGAAGCAGTCTCGCGGGAATATCATTACATTATATTCACGGTCATTCAATTCTTAATCAGATTTTGTTATTTTAACGGCCATATTACAAACAAATTCCTAGAACAGGATATTTCTGGTCCATATAATTATTTTCTCTCCTTCGCGAATTATCAGGGTATGTAAAAGCACAATTTACGATTTGATTATATATCGTAAATCATATTTATTTGTCTCTTATTATAACTCCATATGGTCTTTCATAATCCTTTCATTTGTTTTTTATAATCCTTTCCAGTTTTATCAATCTCAAAGTTCGTATCGACTTATCAATCCCTTGCACAGTTTGATCCACGATAGAACGTTTGATAGGACAATACTCGATCGTTCGCATTGACACCCGCAATTTTCCTTTGTCGTCGTAAATCTAGCACGACGAATCGACGTCGCGATCGGTCGAGATTGCTCGCATCATGAAATATGAAACGCGTACGCTTGACGGATGAAGCGCGAGTTTAAGGTGGCGGCGATGAGCCTCGCGAACGATCCTGCGGAGCGGAGCGCACCAGGAATTGTGCACCGCATGTCGTATTTCTGCATGTCGAGAATCCGTACTAAGGAATTGACGAATCGGTACCTGCATGCCTGTAACTTATGGCTTGTTTTCTCTCTGAAGTGTGTAGCTTGTTAGTGTGTGTAATGCCTACTACAACTCTGTCTACTCTCTATACTCGACTCACTATACTCCCCTTCGTTTCTCAACGTCGCCAAACGATTTATCAGAAAACGTCGGATGGTTATCAGAGTTATTTCGACAGCAAATTATATATTTAGATAAATGGAATAAGTTGATGATTATTGGTTGATGCTTGAATTTGTCGTTTAATAAAAAATTTGAAGATATAAAATTTGTTGATTTTTTAAAAAATCTCAAATTTTCTGCGTTCTACTAATAAAAGTATTCAGTATATAAGTTTAGGGAAATATTTGATAAAATTTTCTTATTATTTAAATATACTTTTTGTTTTATAAAAATTATGATAAATTGCGAGTATTTAATTCCGATATATTTATTTCTTACTAGCAGTAAGATGTTTAAAGAACAATTTGTAAACATACATATAATATTTTCATACATTTCTTATCTTTACCGCAAATCTCTTTTTTTTCACCTAATTTTTTACCTAAAAATTTCGATTATAGAATGAAGAATGTAACGCGACAGTTAAAAGAAAGTACACAATGAAGAATGAGAAAAAAATTCACACAGTAATAATATACTCGAGTTTTTATTTCTTTTGTATACAAAAAAAATGAAACGATTTATGCGGAACCGAGGGTTAACTCTCTTAGTCGGTGTCCCGCGGCCTCCCTCGAGAATCCCAAAATCTCTTAAGAACGAAATCACGCTTGGCGAACAGCGCGTCGCTCCAGGATAATTTCTCGCGTGCAGTAACGCTCAATACGAGGATCCTTCTACTCTGAACGAGTTTCAAGTGCCGCAGTATTCTCGAAGGAGCCCGAAAATCCTCTCAAGAAGAGACGCTAGATCGCCTGTCGATTTCGATTACGGGCCGGTTCATTTAACTTCGTCTTCTTATCGACTTTTTATTTCGCGTCGCACCATCACTTTCGACAAACGAGAAAACGCTAATATCGTCGTGAGGACACTTGGGAAGATATTTGTTGCTCTTTAATAACGCGCTTAAAGTAACTTACAATTGACTAATTACGGAAATCAAAATAATAATAATATTAAAAATTAAATACAGAAAGTGTAATGGCGAAAACATGCTTAGTGAAATAAACTTTTGTAGATTTAATTTAAAAATATTAGAACATTAAGAGACAGTATAAGAATATAAACGAAAAGTGAATTTTTTGATAAAGCTGACATGTGTATAATTAAAAGTAATAGGATTAAGTTTATCTTGATTTCAATTAAATTACGGATGACATTATTTTCTCTTTAATAATATCTTGACATTTTTATTATATTTTCATTAATGTGTTAAAAACAATTTTAAATCAATTTTATCAATAATTTTAAATTGACATTAAAAGCAGTAATAAGACTTTTAACACATTCACGTATATATTATATATAAATACACGAAAATTATTATCTTCTTTTTAAATTTATTCTTTATATTTGTATGTGATATATATCTATTTTCATCAGTCTTCGAATGTGGAACGATAAAATAAAGAAATTTTAATTTTGACATGCCTTACCCCCCCTGTAGAAAATCTCTTACTAATTTTTCAATTAAAATATTGAGATATTTTCTAACGTACGACAGAGTAATATATTTTAAGTGATAAAACTTTTAATGTAATCTTTTTGTGATAAAATTTTAGAATTATCAAGAAAAGTTGGCACTTTTTGTTTAAGAGGTAATTTACTTAATGCACACTAAAATATAAGAAAATAATAATTCTCAATAAACATTTTATATAGATATATACAATACATAAATGCATGTATTTAATAAACGAAAGTATGACACTTCCTGAAAAAATTAAGATGTTAAAAAAATTTTTTATTTTTTATTAATTAATGATCGGAATTAAATACTCGATTTTATAATACAACATATAATATTAATTTAATATTTATTTCATTAATGATAAATCTAAATATATTTTAATTATTTTACAATTATTTTTATACATAATTCTAGCTATCATTTCTACTTAATTTATACCTTTTCTATTATTTAATTCGTTTAAAAAATTGTTATATCAACAAAAAGATATTTATTAATTTGAACGCTGAAAATTAATAAATTGGAATGTTGCATCCAATTATACTCTTATATCCTTGCATCTCGAAACCTCGATAATATTCGATATCCATGTGATTTATTTATCTGGACAAACAATTAAAAAGTGGTATATTATTTCCCAACGATATCGAGCTTCCTCTTCGTGATGATCCCTCATCAACGCCCGTGCACTGTGCAACTACCACTATACCATTACTACTATCACCATCACGACACTTAACCCCATAACAACAGCACGCAGATCTCGCACGTTGCGTACCGATGGCGAACGCGCACCCTCACTCACCCCGTTCTCGTCCGCGGCTCTGCTTCTGTGTTACAGAGGTCCTGCCCTCCTCCACCTCCGTAGACCTGTCGGGCACGGATTCAGCCTTGTACCCGTTCGACCCACAGCAGGAGAACTACCAGGAGATCTGGTTGCCACCGACCAGTATGTACCCCTATTTTCTGTTCCCCGGGACCGCGCGCACCCCGCCGTACTACGACCCCGACAGCACGTACGACATACGGGAGCCCGGCGACCGCTACCAACACCATCACCGTCACGGCGATCGACATCATCACCAGGAAGCGCCGGAGCTGCCCGGCAGGCCAGCTGTCCTCGTTGTCGAGGCGTACGATCCTCGGACCGATTCGGACCGGTACGAAACCGATATGAATCGGTTTGAGGATCGCGCGGGAACCTCGCGACCAGGCGTTAATCATCTGGATCGATCGACGGATGGATCTTCTTCCTCCTTCTCCTCCTCTTCTTCTTCTTCCTCCTCTTCTTCTTCTTCTTCTTCTTCTTCTTCTTCTTCTTCTTCGTCATCGTTGTCCAAGCATGATCGCGCCTCCGGCACAGTGCACCTGCAGCCCCAAAGCGAGCATGACGCGCACCCGCACCAGCATCGGCACCATCACCAACAGCACCAGCACCATCGTCAGCACCTCGCACTACCCGCACCACCGTCCGTCGTCGCGACGCTGTCGTCGTCGTCGGCGGGCTCGTACGCGCCGGCAGCTGCTCGTCCCACGCCTACCGTGTTGGACGAGCCGTTGGGGGCCCACGGGCCCGGCCATGCCGAACCGCCGCGGCTGCCGGCCCCGAGGAAGTTTGCGCCTAGGCCCACCTACGAGCACCGCGCGATCTTCGACCGCGCCGACGACGACCTCGATGACCTCGAAATCAGGCCAGCCGCGCCGCCCGTCGATCGGATCTTCGATTTCCGCGAAGAGTTCGTCGATCAAGGTTCGTACCGGGCCCACCGGCACGCACAAGAGATCTCGGGATTTTGTCATCGCCGAAGGACGTGTCCAAGGACACGTTAGATGTCTTGAAAAGTTTTTAGTTTGCGTGAGTAAGTCGGGCACTGTGATGGGCACGCGTTACGAATGCGTACTTTTTTTAGACATTATTTCGGCATAATATTTTTAGGAAATGAAAAAAAATATGAGAGTCTGGAAAATTTTTACTTAGAGCTTAATGTTATTAATCTTCTTAAAGATAAAACTGTTAAAAGAGTTTATTTATGATAATGTTAACATTATCATAATAACAGTAATAATTTACATTATAATAATGGTTAAAATTTTAATTTAGGATTTTCATTGCTTCTTTTATTTTTATATATGTAATCGACATAAAAAATGTGCATACGATACTCATTCATGTCCCCAGCGTAATATGCTTAATAATTTATTTAGCTACAGAAGAAGGTAATTATTTAAAAGAAATATATATGTACACATAGTAAGTAAATTATAATTGTAAGTACTTATGAGATTTCTAATAACACATTGATACAGTGTTTCTACTAGATAGTCTGATATTTGTGTACATATGTATATATTTATATACATATATATTCCATTTTCTCCTTCAAAATCCATTTTTTCTTTCGCTTTACCTTAAAATTTCCTTCTCAAAAAAAAATTTTGTTATCTTTTGAGAGAAATATGTTTGTTAGGAACAAAAAAGGATGATAAATGTGATGGCTTGGTAAGAAAACGGATTGATCGGAGTTATTATTGCAAATTTCTCAATATTTGTTGATCTAACAAATAATACATGATTTACGATACAAATAAAAATAATTAGTATTGCCAGCAAATAAAGGTCTATCAAAAAATAGGCTAGGTATTACATAAATTGCTTCTATTATTATAAATAATTGTTAGAATAGCAGATTAGCATTAATCACAACAAATATTAAAACAATAATTTGTTGTCAAATTATTTACTAGGTAGCCAGGTGGCTTGTTAAATTAAGAAAATCCTTTCTCTCAATGTCCTAGATTTTATTATTTTAAGAGAATAAGTCACACGTTCAAATTTCTTATTTTAATAGGAAATTTAGAAATTTTATATATTTAAAGCATCTATTTTACTTTTTTATAATTAATTTTATCGTCATTATTCTCAAGTTAAATTTTAATTCAGAAACAAATTAAACACAATGTTTAATAAATTTGATTAAAAATGTATTTTAATAATAAAAGCAAATGTGGAAAGAACACCTTTTAAAACTAAAAGTCACAGTATAATTAATTTTTTGTCATTAGATTTTCTGAGAGATTTACAGTACTGACAATGTATATCGGACCTATATACGATGTTTTATAACATGTGAATATAATTTCAGAAATAAATTAAAAACACAAAACGGTTCTTTTATTTTATGTCACCTTGTTTCCTATGATAAACATTTTTATATTTCATTAATTCTAGGTACGAGTTGAGCAAGCGTAGTATCTGCATATGTCTTTATATATCTTAATCTTGTTGACATTTTTAAAGACAGAAATATATGAAGACACTATTCTAGTTCAATTTGTAACAAATATTAATTAAATACTAAAATGATTACTACTCAGAAGTCAGGTATAACTATATAAC